TCTCTCTCTCTCTCTCTCTCTCTCTCTCTCTCTAACTCACCCGCATATATGACTCTCACTACTAGACACCGACTGTTGCACCCGTCAGTGTTGTGGATCTATGCGTCCGTTTGACCTGAAAATAATGGACAACAACGACCGCGAAGTACTACACCTGTACCGGCCGTTACGCTGCGCCGGTATCTGTTGCTGGTGTTGCCTACAGGCGAGTACATCTGACCCTTACATTGCCATCCACACAGCCAATTCCCGATATAACTAACCAAACATTTATTTTTTAATTACCAAAACAGGTGCTAGAAGTACAGTCGCCCAGCGGTGAACTGTTGGGTACCGTACGTCAGGACATAACACTATGTCTGCCGGTGTTTAGCGTTGAGAACGCTTTTGGCGATTGCATCATGAAAATCGAGGTGAAAATTCAGACAAGGTACTTTATATAATTAGCTTGTTTATTGCCTGCGATCGCAGTCGCCGTGTATGACCGCGAGTCTGACCTGCGGTGACGTGGAGTTCCCCGTGTGGTCGGCCAGCGATGGCTCCCGAGTGGGTGTTATCACCAAACAGTGGTCCGGTTTGGGTCGCGAGTGGTTGACCGACGCCGACCACTTCGGTATCACTTTTCCCATGGATCTGGACGTCAATATGAAGGCAGTGCTGTTGGGCGCCTGCTTTTTGATTGTAAGTGAATGCCTAGGTGCTTTTGTAATTTTTGTTTTAATGATCTGGCTGATTGTTGCGATAAATGTAAACGATATGATGTTTTTAATAATGAGATTTTATTTATTTACAGGACTTTTTATTTTATGAGCGCACGAATTAAATTGATTGTATCATGGTGGCAAATCGATCTCGTATATTTGATTATTGTTAAATGTTTATTGTAATAAATGTGGATTAAATTACGACTATTTATAAGTTTATTTATAAGTTCATAAACAAGCTATAAGCTTCAACAATCGTGGTAAATAAAGTAATTACATGCTATTTATTTCCGGGGTAAAAGTCCCACAATTCTTTTCAAAATGTAAATTCTGTTTAATTTATGTTTTATTTACTCCAATAAAGTTACAAAATCTATATAATTATTAAATAAAAAGAATATATTTTAAACAATAAAGTATTGAATATAAAGTTACGTTTTATTGGATTGAACTTTTAATATAATTTATTGTAGTTTAAAAAACGTCTGCATTAACAAAAAACTTATGTTTTATAAGAATTAATAAAATCAATTCAAATCAAGTTGCTAATATTTATTTAATAATGTTTTTAATAATTAAATAAAATACATAATCCATACAATAATTAATTAAACCAAAAAATTTTATTACATGAATAAAATGATAATCAAAATACATTTTAAAGTTTAAGTCTTAAACTAATTCGCAATTATTCTGGACTATGAAATAAAAATAAAATACAATACAATTAAGAAATATTATACAATATTACGCTAAATATTAAACTAAAAAAATTGTAACGTCTTCCGTCGACTATAATTGCAGTGCAATTATATCTAGATCTCTAAGTCGGGGGGCAATTATATTCGGATAGAGTTGCTCTCAGTTTTGCTGTCAAACAAACATTTGTCGAAATTCACATATAGTTGCCCTCAAGTATTTGTGACACAATGTCTGCAAACACAGAGAGTGGTAATAGTGGTCAGATTCGGCCAACAACTAAGAGCAGCGGTAAAGTCGGACGCAAATCGTTTACTCTATTCACCAAACTATCGGCCATTAAGTGATATAAAGCAAATGGATTTAAAAATTGGGGGCAACTATATGCATGTTTTTAACATGGGGGGCAATTGTATTCGGATATAGTTGCCCCTGGTTAGCACTTTTGTGATTTAGCTTAAATCTAGATATAATTGCATGCAATTATAGTCGACGGAAGACGTTAATAAAAATTAAAACTAAAATTTTTACATTGAAAAAAATAGTTTCATTAAATAGACTAAAATGTAAACATACAGTTAAATTCGCTTCATTATAACCGGTCGTACACTAAAACAAAACACATTACATGCTATAATTGTGGGGTAAAAATATCACTGATTACTATAATATACCGTATTTTTATACATATAATGAGATATAGTTTGAATACCAAATACCCCTTATATCAGGGTAGGGGTATTAGACACCCGCCTATTTAAAGTACCCTAATTCATGTCCACAGGGGAGGGGGTATATAGAGGGGCGGGTAATAGAGAGAGAATCACGTGATTAGTATATAATATTATAAAGTATTGAATACTTTATATTAAATACATTTACATATTATTGTAAAATAGGAAACAAATGTTTTGTTTTTGTTGTTGTGTTTAATTCATTATGATTTCAGTTATCAATTAATATTGCCATAAAAATTGTGTGTAAAATATATCCACATATAAATTGCATACAAATAATGTGGTGTACAAAGAGTGGTGGTGTGTGAGTGTGTGTATGAGTGTGTGTGTGTGAGTACCTGATTGCTAACCACTAACCCAGTGTCGGTCATACCCTAAACTACCGGTGCTATTGATTGCACAAAAACAATATACAAAACAAACATAATGTTTTATTTTACGCATACTTTGGTGCACTCTAACGACTAAATGACTACTACTCTACGTGTTTATGTATGTGAACACCCCTTAAGGGGGTCTCGTAGGACAATGGGTGCGGGGGAGGGGGCTGTAGGGAACAGTCAACACCCCCATCCACAAACACAACGATAACCCACTACGTGTGCTATAAGTTTCTACCGACAAAACAAAAAAAACAATACAAAAACTCGTGCTTTTGTGTACACAGTATTACACACTCTATCTCTCATTAAACATATTTCCTATCGTTAATCAACACTTCGCGCACTTTCGGCAATTGGCGGACAAACTGCTGGACACCGGCGCGCGATGTGCGCTGATTGCCATCAAACTCGACGGTCCGCAGCCGCCGACACGCGGCCAACGCCGACAACTCCCTGTCCGTGACGTGCACTTCAGACAACCAGAGAGACTCCAATCGGGGCAAACAGTGGCCGATGTCGGCAAAAAACTCGGCCCCCATTTGCGAGAAGTAATCGATGGTCACGTGTGTGAGTCGCCGACACCGGGCCAGCGCTCGGCTGGTGAGCGGCACGTCCTCCTTGTCGTAGACAAAGCCCCGGGTCTCGAGTCGTGTCAGACCCGCGAACGTGTCGTTTATTGTCCGCAAAATGACCGCAAAATCGTAGTTCAAGTGTAGGGATAGCCGACGCAGGGCTGGCGGTCGCCGGCCGTCGGCGCCGAAACGGGTCAGACCGGCGACAATGGCGGCGCTGATCGGGTTATTGATGGTGTTGTACGTGATCTGGAGGTCGATTAGGGCCGGCATTCGCGCCAATCCGGCCATCAGCTGCTCGATGGCCGGCTCGTCGCTGGTGTCGGCGATCTTCACCCGTACGGTACGCATAGTGTCGGCGTATTTGTCCACAAATCGGCCAAAACTGTCGGCGAGAGCGGCGTCTGACGGGCCGGTCGGCCGGTAATCAAACGAAAACTTGTGTAAACGTTGAAACAGCTGTTGATCGCCGCCATCGGCGGTAACCAACGCCAGTTGATCCGCGAGATTGCCGCGATTGGTGGCCACAGGCGGTGGTTGTCCGGCGGGCAGCGATTGGCCGTCAATGACCAGCTCCTGGAGGTTAGGACAGCGTTGGCGGATGTTTTTCATGACACAGTCGTTGAGGTGCGCGCCGTCTGGACACCAGTCGTACTGAACGGACAGCAATTGTTTGCCAAATTTGGCGAAAAACATGTCCACCGTTTCGGTGGACACCGAGGGGTTCAACACCACGTGTATTGACGTCAAGTGGACGCAGTATTTGATGAACAGATCCAGCAATTGGTCGGTAAAGTGTTCGCCGGGCGACTGCTGTGGACAGTAGTACTCGACGTGCGATACGTTGGGACACTTGCGGACAATTGTCTCCACTTTGCGGGTGTCGATAGCGGATGACTGACCCCCGGGTGTGTCCACCGCGAGGCTATCGTCGATCACCAGCCGGTGTTGCGACTGATAGACCCACGACTGCCACTGCCGGCTAAGACACTCGCATTGGAACCGATCGTCGACCGCCAGATAGCCGATGATAGTGGCGGACAACTCGCGAGTGAATCGACTGAATGAGTCGCGACCGGCGCCGGGGGTCACGTGTTGTCCACCAGTGCTGGTGTTGTTGTTGTCCGACACGCGTTGCCGTTTGGCTGATAGGATCTGCTCGTCCATCGCTGCAGACATTCTTCCGGAGTGAGAGTGAGTCGAGAGAACTTTGTTTCGGGAGAAAAATCGCCAATACTTGAAGACTACTCTCTCTTCGGGAGTAAAACCCCAAGACTTGCGATCGCTTTATTCGGGAGAAAAACCGGCGTTTAATATGAAATGCGGGAAAAGTTTTTCACCAAAACTTTTGTTTCGTTTTGTTTTTAAAGTGTTTTTTGTGGCGTTTTTTGTAATCACTATTTAAGTCACAATTAATTTTTCTTTTGATTATTAATTTAGTTTTAATTAATAACGAGTTTATAATTCGTGTGGTATATAAACCAATTGTGTCGACATTTATATATTTATAACTAATTATTACATTTAATTAACATTTAAGTCAAAACTTATCGGCGATTAATATAAAACTTTTAATACAACTTAAATGCAAACATATTTAACGCAAACATAATTAATATTTAATTACTAAATGTCAGTAAAAAAATTAATAACACAGCGAGCTCGCTCAAAATCACCTTGCTCAAACATAACCACATTAAAACCAGCTAGACACATTTACAATTAATTACAATCGTATTTAATTACACACATAATTGCATAACAAATAGCGTTATTATTATTGCAATCGTTAATAAATTTATTGCACTTTTAATTTCATTGCAATTCATAACAAACTGTTATCTAATAGTAAACAAAAGCGTATCGCCTATTGTATTGTATGGCCACGTGTTATGCGTTGGGAATAACGGCATAACTGAGTACTATATATAGGCTATGAGTTGCGCCCCTTTTGCGCACTCGTAGACAATGTATTGCCGATTGCTGTTCAAAACTATGATATGAATATCTGTCATACATTACGTTCGCTAAATAACGTAATGAGTAATAGTTTGCACTCAATGGGGTTCAATAGGTGGCACCTATTGAGATGCCTATCAATTGAATGGTAAAGTTTAATCTTGCTAATAAAGTGTGATGTTATAAATTATAATATCCGATCAATCATGGTGGAATTATGCCAGTGTCCACCAGTGCAGTACAGAGCGTGTCTCACAAATACCCTGGTGTCCGGACCGGCCCACTCGGCACCGGCTATCTCAGCAGCCAATGAGAGTGCGCTCGACTCGAGTTCCCGGTACTCAGCGGCCAATCGTAGCATAGACTCGGCCAGTGATACATGTATGCCCTCAATGTTGGCCATAACGGCCACGTAGTTATAAATGCCGTCGAGTCGTCCCCCGGCGTCCATCAGCTCCTTCTCGAATGAGTGCATATCATTGCATACAATGAATAGTCGACACAATAGGCTTAACAGG